ATTGCCTGTTGAATACCTCGGCTGCTTTTTTGTTGGGCACTTTGTGGTTATTCCTAGCCAGATTGTCAGCAATGACCAAGTGATGTTAAGAGGAGAGCTCAGGGCCTAAGCTGTGTGGTGCCAGGTCGGGGTGGATGTGTGCAGGCATGGTAGTGCAGCCTAGTGGCGCAACAGAGGTTCGGCCCGGTGGCAGAGTGGTTGCGGCCAAAGGTTGCCAACGAGGCTCTATTGTCACTGGTAATGGCTCTCATTGCAGGCAGTCTTGTGGTGGTTTATCAGCAGGAAAAGCTTTGAATGGGCTGAAGTAACAGCACTGGCCATTTGCAGGACGAGACGCTGAGTGACTAGCAGTGTTAAGCTCGTGGCTGGGTGTTGTACCTACGTAGGTTGTTGTGGCTGAAAGACCAAGCGAGCTTATGCTGCCGCAAACCAGTCTTCACCCAGTATAAGGGAAGAGTGTTGTGTTTCCAAAAATGCTGCCTTCACCACACCAGAGATAGGGCCAAAACTTGTCAGGAGGGCTGACCCAACCAGTAAGGCTGTAGCTCCTCCTACAACGGACAGAGGTTGATTGGTCCATGGCAACAGCATGGTGACTTTCATAACCGAGTCTGGGTAAGCGTCTTGCAGTCCAATTCCTGTAATGGTCGCCGTGAAAAATGAGAACAGCTGTTGAGAACTTTCTAGTGTTCTGGGAAAACTTATGCAGAGCCTGTGGCTGTCCAGGGCCAAGGGTGAGCGACGATTCGGTCCTTGGTGGCTTGGTACGCAAAGGACATGCCGATGCCAAATGTCCACCTGTCCCCACCTGTAGCAAACTGCTTAAGTTATGTCTTGGCCACTGCGAAATACTGGGGCCCCTTAGCATGTGGAAATGACTTCATAATGATGTTCCGGTTCTTCTCTAGGCAGCGCGGAAATGCATGACCTTGGCTGCGCTGTTGTAGCTGTTATCGGAGCTGGTGGCTGGAAGATGGGCTGCTGATCTTCTAAATTTCCACGTCGAACTGACTGCAGAGGAAGGTATACCGCTGATTTTACACTTGCCGTATGTTGCATATGGTGGGTGCACTTGTCCAGGCTTGTGCACGTGGATATTAGGTTTTGTATCTTCGAAGGTCGATTAGCCGCTATGGCTGCGAAAACATGCGGCTCGGTGAGGCCTTGCAGTAGGTAGTCAATTTTCTAAGCATCGGTGAACATTACGAGCAGATTTCCATCTCCCGAATCTTTGACTCATGTAGGTTCTTGCTTGAGTCTTATCTAATCTTGATGACGCGTTCTTTCCATTTGCAGAGGGTCAGTTCCGAGGAGAAAGCTTCCTTCAAGACTGCACTTCACGTTTCCCGCGTTGAATGATCATCCGCAAAAGCTAAATGCCAATTAAGAGTTGGTCCTTTCTCTTTGCTTGCAGCAATAAGGCGAGTGGTAGCGTCATCCCATGCGGCAAGCTGTTGTATACAGAGGATATCACTGATCCAGGTGTTAAAATTTTGCGTAGGATAATCACCGAAATATGCTATTGACGAAGCCAAGTCAGGCAGTGTGACAATGGTTGTCGAGGGGTGTGGAAGCTGCTGGAATAGAAGTCAGGCTTTTGAGGGTTGGAGTATCAAAGGGCAAACGCGCTTTGTGCTATCGACGCTTGACAGCAGTGTTGCTTTACGATGCCTTTCGATGCGGGCTTCGAGGCACTTGACTAGCTCTTCCTTGGTGCCTGTGCTATCTAATTCGTGATGGGTCAGTTCATCGCATTAAGGTGAATACCAAAACGCAGCATCGTCACTGTATCTAGCTGGTCCGAAATAATTCCAGGCAGGATGCACAGTCAGGCGACACTCGACGTACACACGATAGTATGATTGAACAAAACGCGGCCAGTCAAACGTGGGCTTCGGACTTTGAGCTAGCTGTCAACATTTTGTGCGTTTCTTCTTATGCAAAGACAGCGATGAGTGGCAGTAACAACAAGTCTCTCCCGACGCGAGTCTTCAATGGTGTGGGTGCTATACAAACCATACAAACGGTGGCGGAAAGGCAAAGGGCTACTTGCGCTGCCGTGGCTGGCTGGCTTGGCAAATGTCCGGCGTCGACTGCATCATATGTGAGGCTTGGACAGGACACCTGAAGACTCGCATCATAATAATAAACTGTTTAATAATGAGGCTGTGTTAGTCTACACACATGGTAAGGCAATGTTTAATGTGTCAACGACCTTGACTCGGCTGCCCGAGTTCTTTACCCTGGAACTTGTGGGGCTCGTTCGGACTTCGCCAACAGTGCCTTGCGCCCACAGCAATTGCTTACCTTATGCTGCCCCCCCTTCCGAACGCTAGGCCAAAGAGTGGTACGGTGTCCTAGTGCGTGGCCTAGCTACGCCGACCCGTCTGCCTCCGAAGCCAACGCGAGCGCCTTTGTCCTCGCTGGAGCAACCGGGCTTTGGTCCCGGTGTCTCCGTGGATCACCTTTACCGCGGAGACGTGCTCGTGGCACCCTGTGTAGTACTTTATGCCCGTGGCGTGGATAAGCCTATTTGCTTTACCGCCGCGCCTTTGCAATGGGCTGTACTGCGTTTGGTGTTGCCAGAGACAATAAAGTGTTGCGACTTTGAGCAACATCGTGTTCTCGTCAGGGCAGCGGTTAACGCGTGCCCTGCGGCTCGCTAAGACTGGACCCACGCTGGTGGCCGTACTCCTTCGAGATACGTGTCACTAAGCTGGCATCCAACGCTGTATCAAAAGCTCTAAGCTTTTGACTGCTCTTAGCGAGTCAGTTCGCCTGCGCGATTCGGGCTCGTCGCAACATGCCTGCTTCGTGGCATGCCCCGTTGCACAAAGAGGCCACCGCCTCTATCGACGGGCACCCTTTGGCGCTCGTTCGTGTCGTCACCCTCTTTTGTGGTGAATACACAATCTACGTGGTAGCTGACGCGCTATCTCGTGCCCCCTGTTGTCTGCCGAGAACCTGGATTTTGGTGCAACGGCCGCTCGCGGTTCCACAGTACATGCAAGTGTCGGGGACTAAACAGCGGCGAAAAAGGGGAGTCCCTATGAGGATTACTGTGGCTGTTATCCAGGTAAGTGCGGCACACTGCCTGGCAGACGAGCGGGGGAACTTTCCGAAGGCCACCTGCCCAAAGCGAACCCGTGACGCCGTGCACGCAGCGGTTGCTGCGGTCCTGAGTGGGCACGATACCAGACTCTCCCATTTAGGAGAATTGGGAGCTGCTTTCGGCAGTGAAGAGCTACAGAAGGCTCAGCAGGGTGATCCGTTTCGAGTCTCGAAGGGACGGAGCGCCGTATACGCTGCTTGCTCTGCGGCGGGCGCCGATAAACCGTCTTAAAGAGCCGCGGAGCGCTGTTACGCAGCTTGTTCTGCGGCAGGTGCGATTAGGGGGCTGAAACAGCGTGTGTCGCTGAGTCCCCGGCAGATTCATTTCGCTAGACCATGACGGGCTCCTGCTGAAGTATATAGCCACTGACGACGAGTCCATCGACCCGTTTAAGGCGGTTATGCCCAAAAGTCTGAGAGCCGCACTGTTGCTATCCTCTCACGACGAACCCATGGCCGGTCACCTGAGCGGCTCCAAAGCTTTATGCAAACTGAGCAACATTGTGACCTGGCCCGGCACAAAGCGTGGCCTTTATCGCTATTCCGTGCCTGCCACGTCTGACAAACGGTTGAACCAAGGGTTGGAAAGCCGCCCGGTCTTGTGAACCGATTGTCAGTGAGCGTCCGTGGGGCGTGCTTCCTGAAAGATCCCCTTTGGGAAAACTCAGGCCGTGTCCACATCGCAGACCTGAAGCCCTTTGCCATGGTTTGACGAGCTCACGCGAGCGTCCTGCAGCACTTCACGCAAGCAACGGACACACCCGGCGGACCGCATTCGGACCCCGCACCGGTATAATCTGAGGAAGCGGTCACCTTTGTGATTTTGCGCAACGGCGGACTTCTCCGCAACCGAAAGCCCTCAGTTTACTGTCTAGCCTCAGTATATGTTAGCTTCTTTACGGCCTTTTCTCGTAAAGAAGTTGACCCCGTCCAGTTTGCTGCCAGTGTTTCTTTTTTAAATGTTCATGTGTGATTCATGTTTCTTTTGTCCAATATTAAGTCTTATTTGCATTTTGTTTTTATTTTATTTTGGCCAGAGATTGAGTGTCATTGTGCTCTGTTTTACTTTTTTTTTCCCGTGTTTATTTCGTCTACCGCAAAGGGAGTCGTGACCTTGTGTCAGTGCCTATGCCGGGAGAGAGACGAAGGACGCTTTGCACCTACGCTCGTGCAGCCGTCGGCGCTGTGCGTGCGTGCTTGCTTCTGTGCGTGTGTAAGTGCGTGACGCTTCAGTGCGTGCCCGTGAAGGGTGCATCATGGCTTCCCCCAATCGACGCGGACACTAGAGGTGCTCGGGGCACTGACCTACAGGCGCTGTGCTCTGCTCTCGGCCGTGGACGAAGAAGCCCTGCTGCCTTTCCCACCATGGGAAAGGTGCAGTGAGTGGGCTCGGTGGCACCGTCAAGGACGCCATGAAAAACCACTTTCTTCTTCTCGTACAGACGCTGCTCGGACTGGAGGGGACCACTGCTAGCTGCGACCGGTTTTCGAGAATTCGGCAGTATGACTCGGGAACGTCGGATATCTTGCATCGAGAACAGCACCCCGCTGTGCTGTTATCACGGCCGACGGCGGTAATCCTTCTTCCTGTGAATCCAGCTATTTGGACTATCGCACCGCACCGCCCCTTCGGCCAACCAGGGACAGCAGCGACATCGGACGAAACGCACAAAAGGCCCCATCAGTCACGTACTCCCTTCAGTGGGCTCGGTGGCACCGTCAAGGACGCCATGATAAACCACTTTCTTCTTCTCGTACAGGTTAGAAGGGACTATCTATTTTCTAAGTGTCACAAAAGTGATGTTCTTTGCTTTGTGGTGCTGCCGAGCCCCGAGTGTATTTTGTGTTGCGTTTATGAATCGTTCAGCATTGCTCGCTAACTGTTGTTGTTGCTTAGTGGTGATATAGAAGAAAATCCTGGCCCAAACACGCTCGACGAGATCTTAAAAGTGGTTACAGAAATTAAAACTTCACAACGAACATTGGAAGAAGGATTGCAAGGAGTTCAATTCAGACTGGCAGAGATAGAAGGTACTCTAGCATCGATAAAACAGTACCATCAAAAAGTGGAGCAGTGCGAACAGTATGTCGCCACAATGAGTAAGGACATCAGGACTCTGAGCAAAAAAATAGACGACATGGAAAACAGAAGCCGCAGGAATAACATTATTTACGGGTTGGAAGAAAGACTGAATGAAAATAGTACCAATTTAGAACAAGCGGTAGTGAAAGGAGTGTTCAAAGACAAACTCGGGGTAGAAACAAGATCAGTTGAGCGTGTACATCGCATTGGAAAGAAAAGACCAAACAGTACAAGACCTGTAATTATAAGGTTTTACAACTTCACAGAAAAGATGACCATTCTGCGTAACTGCAAGAAGCTCAAAAATAGCTCGATATCTATATCGGAAGACTTCTCGGCCTCAGTACGTGAAGTGCGCAGTAAACTTTGGCAGTCTTCTAAAGCAGAGCGCGATGCGGGCGATAAGGTAACACTACTATACGATAAGCTCAAAGTGAACGATCAAGTGTATTTATGGAAATGATGAACAAAAATGCAGACTGCCTTTGAACAGTGTGCGTCACGGCGGCACTGGGAAGTCCAAGGACCACAACGCATGACGAGTACGGGTTGTGAATTCACTGTCATCAATAAGTTTTAATGCAAGGAGTATTGTGAATAAAGTTGCAAAACTAGAAGATATACTGCTCATTCATTGTCCTGACGTTGTGTGCATAACCGAAACATGGCTACACGGCGTTATTCATGATTCAGAAATAGTTCCTCCCTCCTATTCTCTTATGCGCACCGACCGCGATAGTCGCGGCGGTGGAGTCGCTATCGCAGTGCGTAAGGGTTTATCATTTCGTAAAGTGCAAGGCATTCCAGACCATGAAAGTGTGCGGTGCACTGTATATGCCCATGAATCGCCCGTGCTGATTGGTGGTATTTATAGGAAGCCAAACGTGTCTGATGAATACATCAAAAAATTCACGACTTCCTTCATGGCAAGTTGAAAGACCGTACTAAGTTAATTCTTGCCGGGAATTTTAAGTTGCCCACTATTGACTGGAATACACTGACAGCTGGTAGTAGAGATGTTTCTAGTTCTGAACTGCTTTTGAACATAGCATTTAGTTTTTCATTATCTCAGCTTGTCACAGAACCAACGCGCGTTCATGGGCATACGCTTCCAATACTAGACCTTGCATTTATCTCTAACCATCTAACAGCTGATGTCACACTAGAAGAGGGCATATCTGATCATAAACTTGTTCTTCTAACAATCACTATCGGTCACAGCGTACCAGTTCCTAAATCACGCGTAGCTGTTAAAAACTACAATAAAGCTGATGATGTCAGCATTATTGACTACCTCGAAGTAGCGTTAGAAATGTTTTCCATTGAAAATCACCATACAGTGAATAATCTGTGGCTTAAACTAAAAGATATAATGAAATATTGTGAGGAAACATTCGTACCCACGCGAATCAAACGTACAAAACGCAGAAACCCGTGGATTACACGTGGTGTGATCCACCTGAAAAGAAGGCTGCAAAGAATGCAAAAGAAGAAACGAAATCCTGACGATATCCGCAGACTTTCGGATGAGCTAAAGGCATCTATTAGGAACGCAAGAGACGTTTTTTTTTCAACGACATTAACAAGTTTCATGGCACAGCATCCACAAAAGTTTTGGCGCTATCTATCCAAGCCCGCGGACCACGTTACTCAAATCGATACCAACGGGGGGACTATTACGGATGAAGCTCTCACTATTGCCAACACGTTTAACAGGTACTTTCAGTCGGTTTTTACAGGCACTTCTGCGTCTGCTCAAAACAAAACTGTGCTAGATTCTGCGTTATCAATGTCGGAACTAGTCATAACTCATGATGGAATACTTAACTTGTTGCTGCAGATTAACGTCAAGAAACGTTCAGGCCCTGACGATCTTTCAAATGCCTTTCTACGGCGCTACGCAGAACAAATAACTCCCTTTCTACATGCAATTTTCGTATCATCGCTTCAAACAGCCACACTGCCGACGGACTGGCTTCGTGCCAGGGTCCTTCCTATTCATAAAGGGGGTAACAAATTACTTGTGACCAATTACAGGCCGATTTCACTCACTAGTTCTTGTTGCAAGCTAATGGAGCATATAGTCAACAAAGCAATCACCACTTACTTAGAAGATAACAACCTACTTTACTCCAAACAACACGGCTTTCGAAAAGGGCTCTCTACCATAACCCAACTTTTCGAAATAGCACATGACTTTGCTACCGTAATTAACTCAAGACTTCAATGTGACGCAATATTCATAGATTTCTCCAAAGCATTTGATAAGGTGCCCCATCAAAAACTAATTGACAAGCTGAAGATTATCGGGATTGAAACCAACATAGTACACTAGATAGCCGCCTACCTCTCAAACCACAGTCAGCACGTTAAAGTAAACGACGCTGAATCTGAAGAGTTAGACGTTTACTCGGGGGTCCCACAAGAGTCTGTGCTAGGCCCGATTCTTTTCCTAATTTTCGTTAATGACATTCATTGTCATGTTGAACCTGACGACACAGTTAGACTGTTTGCTGACGACTGTGTCATTTATACCACAGTACGAGCGATCGACGATCAGTTACGGCTTAATACCTCTCTAACTAACATTTCAAGATGGTGTCAAGAATGGGGAATGGAAATAAACGTAGGAAAAACCTCGTATATGCATATAACCCGAAAGAGAGCACCCTTAAAATTTGCGTATCATTTAAAAGGACTACACGTAGCAGAGGCCGCTTCGGTGAAATATTTGGGCGTTACCATCACAAACACATTAAAATGGGATGTTCACATTAACCAGACGTGCACAAAAGCGTACAGACAGTTGGGATATCTTCGCAGGAAACTCGCTCTAGCCCTTCCAAAGTTAGACTAACAAGTTATAAATGCCTCGTACGACCAATCCTCGAATACGGCAGTGTAATATGGAATCCGCATCAAACTTACCTTCTTAACCAGCTGGAGGGAATACAAAATAAAGCGCTCCGATTTGTGTATTCTCAGTATTCTCGAGATGTCAACATAACCGCGCTTTGCAATAGGGCAAGCATTCAAACACTGGAGATCCGGCGACGCATAGCTGCATTAAAATTTCTTTATCTGCTTTATCATGACAACATTAACATTAACAAACACAAGTACTTGAAACCACCATATCAGCGCTCCGCCAGAACAAACCATGACAGGAGTATCAGGCCTTTCATCACCCGTTGCAATTCATTTAAGTATTCTTACTTTCCGTCAGTAATAGAAATATGGAATAACCTGCCACGTGATATAGTGTCCTCAGAATCTCTCGAATCATTCACTGCCAATCTTGAAAAGTTTTTGGATCAGTAAGTTGCAGCGTTGTAGAATAATGGCGCAACTTTCATTGAATGTACGTTTTGATTTGTATGCCACTCGATGTTTCAATTCTCAGATCTGTGTCTAATATGCACTCTTCTCTGTTAGCCTGTGGTGTTTTTATTCTGTTTTATTTCTTGGTTCTTCGACTAGATGTACAGTTGTAATTTGTAATTGTTTAGAGTAGTCTGTATTGTTCATTCTTATTTTTTTTCCCGTGTTTTTTTTTTTCTGTGGTCTAATGTGAAGATTACAATCTGTATAATTTCTTCCCACTCCTGTATGAGCCTCTTAAGGCTTACAGTATCAATAAAATAAAATAAAATAAAATGGCTCCTGCGCGAGGCCAGCTGAAAGCAGCTATATGCTGCCGGCCAACGCCAGGGCGCCTCGCAGCCAATTCTGGTTCGGCCTCTCTGATCACTGGAGAGGCCCGGCTTCCCGCAACACCCCAGCTTCATCATCGAGCCGGAAATGCAGGGCCTCCGAACCACAACCGAAGCGGCGTCCGTTGGACTCGCGGCTAAACAAGAGCAGCAACGAGCCATCAGAGAGCCCTCTTCCGTGCCCCTGACCTCGCACTCTGGCATCGCACCTGGCGAACATTGTGACGCTCTTCCGCCCCTCTGTGCAGTGGACGCTATCCCCCTTCAGCACCATGAACACTACTACTACTTTCCTGTGCTCCCTTTTGCAAACATTTTATAGTGTCATGTGTTTATTAATGTTCTTTCTCCTTTGTCATCATTTTTTTTAGCAGCAGTTACAAGGCTGGACTGAGGTTAGCTATTGCTCATAGCAGTGTCATTTTAACTGCGTGGGTGACGTCCGGCTGCTTTTGCAGACCGGTAAAGGGCAAATTTAGGAGAGGGGGATGTGGGAATTGAGGCTAGCCCACTGCTGGCTTTGCCGCATTTTCTGCCATTCTCACGTCCCAACATGTCTCCCCTCCTCAGCTGTCTGCTGCGCTAGAAGAGCGGAGTGACGTTTAACCCCCTCACCCAGTAGAGGATATTGACTATGGCACAGCGCGCCGAGTCTCCCGACAAGTTTTCGCGCGCTGCGTCGGGAGTAGAGAGAGACCTCTCTGGGGACGACATGGGGGTAAGCACGCTTTTCTTTTCCGTCCGTCAGCTCCCTGTGGGGCTCGTTCGGACTTCGCCAACAGCGCCCTGCGCCCGCGGCGCATGCTTACCTTATGTCGCCCCCCTCCTTTCCGAACGCTCGGCCGAAGGGTGGTACGTTGTCCTGTGCGTGACCTAGCTACGCCAACCCGTCTCCCTCCAAAGTCAACGCGAGCACCTTTGCCATCGCTCGAGCAACCGGGCCTTAGTCCCGGCGTCTCTGTGGATCACCTTTACCTCGGAGACGTGCTTGCGACACCCTGTGTAGTACTTTTATGCCCGTGGCGTGGATAAGCCTATTTTCTTTCCCGCCGCGCCTTTGCAACGGGCTGTACTGTGTTTGGTGTTGCCACAGACAATAAAGTGTTGCGACTTCGAGAGTATCGTGTTCTCACCCCCGGCGACGGATAACGCGTGCCCTGCGGCTCGCTAAGATCGGACCCACGCTAGTGGCCGTTCTCCTTCGGGATACGTGTCACTATAAACTCCGACGCAGAGACAAACCCCGGAAATGGAAGCACACTGTGGCCGACTGCATTGCTGGTTCCCTCTACTGGCGCTAGTACGTCACTCACAACTGTAGCCCCGCCGACTTCGATAATTCATGATCCGTTCCATGTAAAAGCCATTCTTACGCTTCAGAACGCGTGCGGAGGGCATGCTGAGCCAAGTGCAAAGTGAGCGAGAGCAGGTCCTAAACACAGAACGAATCGCGAATTATCTAAGTCGGTGGTGTAGCGCAAGCGCGTGCACTGGAACGCTATGACACCGATGTAGACAAGACGCAGACAATCGGGTACAATCAGTCAAAGACGATTTTGAGAAATAATCTGCTTTCTCCAGGCTGGCGACACGAACAATAAACCGGCGATCAAGAATTGCCGGGAGACTTCTTGGCTGATTGGTCTTTGAAAGTTGGGTGGCAGTGCGGAAATAGCGGCTTTGTCTGGCAATGCGGGGTGCTTAGAGTAGCAGGGGGACAAAGAGTGAGAACTTGAGAGCTTTGGAGGTA